CAGCCGCTAACCACAGTATCTCGTAAGTAAACATCTCCTCGCATACGGTTCGAGACATGTCCGGTGCGCGTCGTACTTTGGACGGCCTCGTGGCGGGGGCCCGTAAAAAGACCGGGGCGGGGGGCGCGGAATCATCGCTCGCTATCTTGGCCTCTGTGCAACCCCTCGCGAAGCTGTCGCAGCTGAGGTATGTCTCGGCGTTGGTGTTGCCACCGCCGGTGCTGGTGGTAGATAGTGATTAGTCCACGTGCAGTGTGCGTCCGCAAGTTGCGTTGATTGTCCATGGCAACCGGAGATATTGTGCCTGGAGTGTGTGGATGTTTTGCTCTTGTGCTTGCTTTGTTTGACGAGCCGTTGGTCCTGTATCCTGTCCGCTTTTGTGTTTGGAAACCCGATCTGGATTTCCTCCCCCGTACTAGTGCCTTTTTTACACGTGTTTCGGTGGTTGTTTTGTTTCCGACCAGGGAGTTTGTCCTGCGATCGGTGCACATCACCCACCCGGCGTACCTTGAGTACTGCCGCGGGCTGCTTGGGGCGATGGTGTGCATCAAGCCTCCGCAGGGAGCCCAGGTCGGAGGGCCCATGGAACAGGTGAGAGAAGACACGCTGTACACCTGTTCTTGTGACTGGGCGGGTCGGGATGGCTCGGCCAAAGTGCGGTACGACGTAGTGGTACGGGGAAACAGATTGTTTTTGTTGTTGTTTTCGGACGGGACGTTCGGAAAGGGTGGAAGCAAGCCGCGCGTCGTCCTTTCGCTGCCCACGCAACCTATGAACTGGTGGGGGTAGCCATGTGTGTGCGTGGTTTTTTTTTTTTTCTGTTATCGAGATTTTACTAGGCGTGAGCGACGGAGCTCTCGCCCTCGTTTTTTTGTTATTCTTGGACGGTCAAACACCGAACACCCTGTTCATGTTTGCACGCGCTGGAAGATTTTTAACTCATTTGGGCATTCCCGTTCCAGATGCGCAGCGCTAGGCGCACCAACCGCCGGTAGCACCTGGGTTTTGGACCTCTTCTCACTCCGCCCCTCTCCATCTCCGCCGCCTATTATATGATCCGTTTCTCCTTGTTTCAGAGCCTGGGCGCCGGGCTTGCCTCCGGCAGAGGCAGAGCCCCCTGGGAAGGGCAGGAGCAGGGCCGCGGCATGGGGCAAGGAAGGCTGTTCCGAGTTGTTGGGTGGGACAACCAGACCGGAACGCACCTGTTGCTGTCGGTGCCTGGCGTGGAGGAGGACACGCCGTGGGAGCAATATCTACAGGTGCGGTGGAGTATTAGGGAAGGAGGTTATTCTTGGAGGGGGGGGGGGGGGGGGGTTGCTGTAGACGTGCTGCGTGCTCTGTGTAACCGGAGAAGAACATACTGTTTTTTTACGGTCTTCGAGATGCTGGCGGAATTGCGCATCGGCCCACGCCCTTCTCTGTCCAGGTCGCCAATATGTATGGTTACTCGGTATACCCGTTCCCGATCCTTCCTTGTCGTTGAGCATCTTGTCCCCTGCTGTAACGCGTGATGAGCAGCAGCCACTTGGCACCAACATCGCCTTAACTTTCCTCCTCGTCCATCGCGCCCCCTGTATGGTTAAATACCCGTTTAACCTCCCTACTCCCACTCCCGAAATTTGTTTTCGTAGAGCATCTCGTTCTCTTGTGACGCATGATGAACAGCTGCAGCCATTGGCACCCACGGACATCGCCTTTGCTTCCCTCCTCGCCCATCGCAACCCCCTGCATCCCTTTATCGTCGTGTACGGGGCTTACAGGTGGTGCTGGCGGAGATGTCGTACCGCATCCTTCTCCCAGAGAAGGCCGTCGCCGCCGCCGACCCGCAGCCGAAGACCGCCAGTTCTGCCGCCGCCGGTTGCGGCGACGACACGTTCTGTGCCGAGTCGCCCGCGAAGGAGACGACGGCGGCGCCGTGCGCAGGCGTTTGGGGCGGCGTCGAGGTAAAAGGGGCTGCGACGGTTTTAGCAATTTGGCGGCCGTTGTAGATTGCTCAGAGTGCGGCACGTCGGTTGGGCGAAGGTTGGTTAGTGTACACCTGGGGTGCGGTTTGCTCTACCCACGTGCGTGTGTTTGATTGCTTCTTCGAGTTGGTAAGAGCTTTTTTTTTGTATTGTTTTACACAGGGGGCGCGTTTACGCTACATGCGTGTGTGTTAAGTGTTTTTATTTATTTTGTTATTTTGTTGGGTTTTTTTTTGTTGTTGTCGGGTTTGGGGGAATACGTGTAGATGGCGACCCTATCTCTGTGTGTTGATAGGTTCAACGTGATCGTGTTTGTTTTGTGGTTTTTGCTTGCTTTAGTCGGTTTTCGGGGAAGACGTACGGATGTCGATCGACCCTCTCCGGCGCTGGTTGCTGGTTATTTACCGCGCACGTGAAGCATACGCTGCTCGGCAGGCACGGGCGAGTTGGAGAAGGGTGTATGGTGTAAGTGTCCTTTGCTGTCCCTCCCTTTCCCTCTCTTGGAGGCCGTCTAATTTTAGTTTAAACGCATGTTGTTTTCCCCCACGTCGCTACTACCTGTCTCTTGGTTGTTGCCTGGCCGTGCGTGCGTGCATGTCTGCTTGCGGTGACACACATACAGAGGGAGGCCGGCACCGCGCCCGCACCAGACACTTCCGTGGTGAAACCGTCGCCGCTGCTCATGTCCCTGAGAAGCGGGGAAAGTGGTGGGAGGAGAGGCGAGGGAAGGGCGTTTTCTTTCGGCCAGGTGTGGCGGTGTGTACTGCTGTAGAATCGAATTTAGGAAGCCTCGCCGTCGCTGCGAGGAGGCTCTTGTGCGTTAGTGCGTCATTTTGTGGTTCGCGCTTTTCCTCGCCGCCGTTGCAAGCGGGATGGGCTTCTGGTAAGGTGGGCTGTGAAGCCGTGGAGTTGCTGTGTGTCAGTCATGACATCATACGTGCTTTTGGCGGTTTCAGCGCTGCCTTCATTTCTTGAAGATGCCTCGAACCTCGAACTTGTCGTCGTTTTTTCTTTCTTCTCGGTAGCGATGGCTGTTTAGATAGGATAGATACCTACAGTTAACGTGCTCGATCTGTTTATGTTTCCTTTTTGTGTCCAGGAGCACGGGGGCGGCGAAAGCGCTGACATGGAGCTGGAAGAGTTCGCCCTCGGAGAGAGCGCGATAGGCACGGCGGGAGGAGGAGACGGGGATGTCGGCGGCGGCGCCAAGGGCCTCAAGGCCGCGGCCTCGACGGCGGCGTCTCACCTTAGGCGTAACGTCCGCAGCATGCTGACCGCCCAGCAGCAGCAGCGTCAGCAGCAGAACAACGGCTACTCCGCCTGGGCGACGGCTGCGGCCGGCGGCGGCGCCGCCACCGCCGCCGCTGCCGCCGCCGGCCTCTCCCCTCTCTGCGCGACCGCGTCGCCATCTTCGGCAAGCGGCGGCCCCACACCTTCTACTCTCGCCGGAGGCTCCAGCGGCGGCCCCACCCCTTCTACTCTCGCTGGAGGCTCAAGCGGCGATTCCGGTAGCGTTGCCGCCAACAGCTCTACCTCGCCCTTCCCGCTTCCGAGCGCGTTCCGAGCGTCCTCCTCCGCCGTTGCGGGCGGCGGCGGCGGTGGCGGCGGCACGGGGTCGTTAGTAGCGGCCGGCTCCGGGCGCAACTGGGTCTCCCAGTTCCGCGCCGCCGCCGCAAGCTCTGGAGAGAAGACAGCGGCGGCGATGGCATCTGCTGCAGCGGGGGCGGGTGGCAGCGGCGGCGGCCCCGGCAGTGCCCTTCCTCCTTCGCCCCTCCCCGCTTTGTCAGGCGTTTCTCCCCAACCGGTGGCGGCAAACGGGGCCACAGGCTCAGCGGCGGCGGCGACGACGGGGCAAGGGGGGG